ATTGCCTCCATCTCAAATTTATGCTTTTATCATACTGCATTGTCATGTGTTCACATCACATTTTGGTATAGCTTTAGAGAGATGATAGACAGACACAGATGACAGACAAATATACATACAATGGAGTCACTACAGTGATATTACAGTTAAGAGAGTAAGATACTTTCCATACTAAGCAGCATTGTGACCATCTCCATCCGAACGTTTGCAAAAACTTCTGTTCTGCATAATATTTCTCACATGTACTCCTTGTCCAGAAGGTAGTTTTTTGGAAAGTTTTTAGATTTTAATTGGACAGGCCATTTTTAGCTTTTTTTAAATCCAGTCATAATTCAAAGCATTAATATAGAGTATTAAAAGGTTTTAACCCACTACTCCTTTATATCTGAACTAGTGCACAGGACTATTTTTATCATCGAGTTTGGATGAAGAACATTTAGTTATAAGAGATGATCTCTCTATGCACATTAAAATTTCCACGAGAAATCTGGCAAATCGCCGCTTTTCTTTTTTCTTGTAGTAAGTAAATTTATGTCCTTTTGATTTACAAAGACAGCCTTCAAAATGTCAGAGGATAACTAGGGTCCAAACCTCCATTAGGGTCCACTAGCTTGGACTTCAGTGGAATGCTGCTGATGCTCAGGAATACAGAGCAGACAATTCAAATCCCAAAAGAGAATAGGATGCTAGGAATATATATTTGCCACTATTAATTAAAAAAAAAAAAAAGCAGCGCACAGGTTCCAGCACAGGTTGCACAGGCAGCAGCAGAATATTCACACAAAAATTACGTTTTCTCCTGATCTCACGCTATTGCAGCTGCTTTCCTCCTCCCCCGCCCCGATAAAACTACCAGCCTCCACAGCTCCTCAAATTCTTGCCCGAGGCAGGTACGTTCACACACTCACACTCACCTTACAGTGGTCCAGGTGATAACAGAAATTTATGCTTCAGAGGAAGGTAGAAAACTCCAAAGTGTACAAGTATGGAACAACCTGCCCACAGTTTCTTCTTAACCCCAAATAAATGGTGGATGGTTTATGCCCTTAAGCACAAGGGTTTCTATCCCACTAAATCTCAACTGGTGCACAAAGAGGCAGCAGAGAGAGGATGCTATCATATCACGCTATCCGAATCTTCACCCCAATGGTACATGCTGGTAGAATCCTCATTCCCCTCTTGTGGGGGCCAACCAGCCGCAGAATATTCACACAAACCCTCATTCAGCAAGATGAGTAAGCAGTAGCACCTTCGCCCACAGCAATGACTTGGCATCAAACCCAACCACCCACACTCACAAACACATGTTAGGGGGCTCAAGCAAAAGATTTTTTTAAAAAGGTAGTAGAATCTGTGAATTCTGGAAGTACTTATGACAAGCTTTCTTCCCTGTTCATTGTGCCAGGCTGTGGTGCTTTGGGATTCAGAATGTGCTACCAAATGAACATCTGAAAAGAGGAAGAGGAAGCAGCATATTACTCTAGAGCTCCAGCTTCCTTTGGAGCGCATTGCTTCTGGACTTTCTGGCCTTCAGGTCAGGCCTTCTCTATTGTATATGAACTTACATATGTAATGTGGTCAATATTTATCTAGGTTTAAACTACAACTAACATAAACCACACTAAGCAATTTCTCCATCACTTTCAGAAATGCTTCTGTTCTGGATGCTTTACACTGGCTAGTTAATAGAGTCAGAAGGTTCCAAGAATTGAGTTCTGGTTCTGAGCTATGTAAAACTGTTCTCTCGGAGAACACTAGAGTCTAACATATATAATATTGGAACTTTTAAAAATCCTGGACTCTGCGAATTATTACTATTGTGACCATTGTGGGTTATGCCAATGGAGCTTATGACTTTACTGAAACCTGGAATATGGAGTTTATGGCAACTACAAACTCTGAAGGTAATACTGGTGAAGCTTATATTTAGGGTCAATGGAAATGCTCGTGGGTTGAATGTCCAGGCATTCAGTGGGTATTACCAGCTGTAAATTCCTTCTCCTCTGTGCTGACTCTGGCCACTAAAAAGGGGGGGGACAATAAAGGCTCTATCCAGTCCTTACCATCTTCCCACCCATTTATTCTGGGAAGGGAGTAAGTGAACAGGTAGCCCTGCTTATCCCTGTACAGTCAGACCTAAGGTCTAGGTAGCCCTATGGAAGGATTCAAGGGCTGTTCTCACTCTCTTGCTTGTTGACTGTGTAGCCCATGTCACAGTATAACCCAAAGGGTTTGATCCTGCTCCCATGAAAATCCTATGAGAAACTTCCAGTTGATAATGGCTACATAGATGGCCAATAGGGATTGCCAATATCTATTTTATTAATTTATATCGTATACCTTATTAAAAGAACATTTAACTGATTCAAAACCATCTACCTGTTCACACAGCTAATCTGCGTAGCTCCTTGTTTGCTATCACTGTTAGTTTGTTTTAATGTCATTCTAACTTTGCAGTTTTTCTATTTAAAATACTTGTGGGAATACTATTCCTCTAAAATAACAAAAGTGATTTCAGTTTATATAAAGGTCCGCCACTTTTTCATTATTTTTTTAAATCAGACATAGTGTAATTCCTTCCTTCCTACACCACACAAACTAATAATCATGCATCCTATTTCTCCTGATAATAAAATCCCAGACTCTGTCAGAAAAAAGAAATTTTAGAGGCCTCCTGCATCTGGGAAATTTAAAAAAAAAAGACATTTACAAAGCCTCATTTTAGAACTGTATCTTAAAATATTATCAATAATATACTACATGCTGCATGGTAGAAGAATGTGTCTTTAGGGTTAGGCAATCCCTCCTTAAATAAACTTTAAAAGAACAAAAAAACAAACAAAAAAAACCATTCAGTTTTACTTAGTGCTAATGAAAGAAACCAGACTGTGACAATGAGGAAGGCTGGAAATTTCTGTTTCTCTGTGGAACAAGTACACTATGGACAGTGCCAGGACAAATTTTCCCACATGGTTCTATCCATGTGCCTTAACTATGACCTGCAGAGAGCACCTCCAGAGTAAAAAGCGTACTTCAGTCTGCAAGACCATTCAGTTTTTGGCCTCTCTGTTGAGCCTGCCAGCAAAGGTGCCAATTAGTGCCAGTTTTGACGCTGGCTTTGTAAACAATTTAAATGATTCTCCTTGCCTCTCATACCAGCCCATGAGCCACAATCTCCAATGTGAAATCACTCAGACTTTTCACCTAAGCTGTCACATAAATTTTAGACCACTGTTTGGAATTTAATTCCTGTTGAGAGCAGGTTCTGCAACGCAATGTAAAGCAGTTCTAGTGCCACTTGTCTGCAAGGTGCATGTCAAGGCAACCAACTGAGCCCAAAGCACAAAAATCACTGTCAGCGCTAGCCAGAAAGAGAACTGAGCGGTGTGCAAAATTCTACTGCTCTTGTTGTACTGCGGAGATGATGCATATGTGAGAAGAAAAGGACATATATATATATACAGGAATGAATAAAACCAATGAAAATGTAAGGTTTTTTAGGGGCTGCTCCAAATTTTTCTTAATTGAATGACAGTAGTGGTATGCTAGATCTCTCTCTCCTCTGACTCCCTTACACACAAACACACACACACGCCCCCCCAACACACACACACGTACGTGTGCACACACACAAATGCAGGTAAGCTGGAAAGGGAGATCTGATATGAGAGTGAGGGCGCTAAAATCAGGCCCTGAGAAGCCTGTAGTACTTGAATAGTGCTATGAAAAAAAGTGATTATGATGAACTGCTGTCTAGCAAAGATCTTCATAAATTGTAATTTTGTTATTTCTCATTCTCTGCAGCTAAATCTGTGTAAGTTTCCGCGTAGGAGCCAGAAGCAGGACATACGGCTGCTTCCATGAGCTGCTTGAGCCACCCCTCCAGCGCCCCAACCCCTGCCCCAGCCCTGATCCCCCTCCCACCCTCCGAACCTCTCAGTCCCAGCCCAGAGCACCCTGCACCTCAAACACTTCATCCCCAGCCCCACCCTAGAGCCTACACCTCCAGTGAAAGCCCTCAACACCCCCCGCCCCCAACCCCTGCCCCTGCCCCAGCCCTGATCCCCCTCCCACCCTCCGAACCTCTCAGTCCCAGCCCAGAGCCCCCTCCTGCACCGCAATCTCCTCATCCCCAGCCCCACTCCAGAGCCCCCACCCCCAGTCAGAGCCCTCACCCCCTGCCACACACCAGCCTGGAGCCCTCTCCCGCACCCTGAACTCCTAATTTCTGGCCCCACCTGGAGCCCACACCCCCAGCCAGAGCCCTCACTCCCTCCTGTACCCCAACCCCAATTTTGTGAGCATTCATGGCCCGCCATACAATTTCCATACCCAGATGTGGCCCTCGGGCCAAAAAGTTTGCCAACCCCACTTTACCCACTGACTATTGGATATTTTTAATTTCATATGTATATGATGCAGGGACCAAACAGTTTTCACACCCCCATTACAGATTTATAATCCAGAGTGAATGAAGATAAAAAAAAAAGTTGAAAGTTAGAAGAAGGGGGAAAACTATAATCTGTGAAAAAAATAAAAGGTGGCACAGGGGAAAAATATCTGTTGCAAAACAAACAACTCAATAGGCAGGAGTGGAAACTGCAAAAAAGAAGAAATGGAAAGAGGGAACAGGATATCTTCCCAGCATCTTTGTGTTATTTAAAAGTACCTGTACTTCATAACCTGCCCAGCTCCAGGCAACATGTTAAGCAATAAATTGCTTTCTATAGCTATGGGGTGGTGTTAGAGGGTCAGCAAAACATTCCACTCCAGAGGCACTATATAAATTTCTTGACTCTAAACAACCGGATTGACTCTTTTCTACATATTTCAAATCCTCATACAATCTTCCAAGGAGAAGACATAACGACACTCTACACCAGAATGAGTGATAAATAATGCTCAGCGTTACAAAAATGGAATTTTAAAATGCCATGTAGCCAGGCTGCAAATTGACCCTTATGAAAGGGAAATAGGAAAAGCACAAGGCTAGTACTTACATTCTAGTATTGCTGGTCTTGTTGATAATTACAGATTTTCCAGTTTGATCAACATTGTGATCCATTCCAAAATAAGCTGCCACTCTGTGCACTAACATCCTCTGATAGGACGACATCTGAGGGAACTTTTTATAATGATTACTGAAAGAAAATATCACACTGATCAGTTACGTGATCCTCTCTAAAATATAAAATACCTTTTAAAACTTGATTAACTGTTTTTTCCTCTGTTCAATTATACAGTATACATCTATGCTGCAGGTAAGCAGTCAGTCAACTACAATGGCTGGTTTTTAAAAAGTGCTGGATATATTTATGGGCAATAATAAAACTGGTACTTTTACATGCTAAATTAAGATAATCAAATCTCATATTTTACAGCATCAGCTGACTGCTGCAGGGGTCAGGAAGGACTCACTTGCCATACACACTTTCGCCCTATGTAAATGTTGCATAAATGGCTAAGGATATCATGAAAGTTTTATGCCTTCCTCCAAAGCAGCAGATACTGGGTAATGTTTGAGACACCAAGGGGCTATTCTAGTACAACAAATCTTCTTTCTTCTATTTTAAAATGTCTATTTTTCCCCCTCAAAAGTCAGGGGACTTTTTCAATCGGTTTGTTTTTAACCAAGTTAAAATCTATAATTTTATTATAAATTGTAGAATATGTGAGAGCAGAACAGGGTTTTGTCTCCCTTCAAACAAAAGCTTAACTTTATTTTTCACCACATTAAAAATACCTTAGTGAACAGAGCAAATTGCATGACATAATATTTGATTATATATCCCCCTCTAGAGATGCATGCTTTATGTCCTATGCAATGAAAGCTTTACAATTATTTTTGAGCATAAGTGACTGGAACCAGCTGGAAGTCATTAGAGAAATATAATAAAAATGAAAAGCCTTGCTTTTTGTTACACCTACTGCAGTGGCTCCTACTGACAGTTATTAGAGAGGAATCTAGGGGCCTGATTTTGCAAGGTACTAAACTCCAGCACAGTGTAGGATAGGCCTCTAAGTGAGCACACATCTCATAAAAATATAGCATTTACATATGCTTTATGCAAAAGATACATGTGGCATGCAAATATGATAAACTAACCAAATACTGAAATTAACTTACTTGTTGTCACTAATAAAATCTATAATTTCCTGTTCCATTTTTAAGAGTATCATTCTGTCCCTGTAAAAATAAACAGCAATTTGAAGAGTCAGCTACAAAACCATTTTTAGATACTTTTATGATACTTCAAAAACAAATTATGGAAGTTTCCCTTTATTTAAAAATGATGTAAATATTTTAGTTAAAACGCTGACCTCCCTTGCATTGGTGAAGCTGGGGAAAGACTCTAGTTTCCCCTTCTCCCCATCCATACCAGAGCAAGGCAAGATATGGACTTAAATCTCTTCAGCATTAGGGTTCGGCCTGGTAGCACTCGCAGCCTCAAAGGACTGCATTCAGGTGGTTGAATAATGTTGGTATTTCTTTTTGGAACAAAAGTAAGCTGTAGAGATAGTTGAAAAATTTCCATCACAAATTTTTTGGATGGAAAATTGGATTTTTGACTAAATTCAATGTGTCATAGAAAGTGTGCACTTTCTGTAGCAAATTTCAACTTCTTGTCTAAAGAAATCAAACACCCCAAACTCAGAATAACCGCTTTCCCTGGTGCACCACCGTGGCTCAGCAAGAGGGGAGACCAGGATGCATCATGGGACACGTAGTCTGAACAGGGAAGTCACTGAGAACGGGGACATGAGGCACCCAACAACAGCTTCCATGAAGAACTGCTGCAGCATTGCCAAATCCAAATTTTCTCTTTTAAACTGCAAGTTTTTGATCTTTTGCTGAAAAGCTGAAATTTTCCACAAATACACCTTCCCACACGCACCATTTATTTAACAGCCCTAGTAAGACCCCTTACAGAGTGCATTGCTCTCAAGCTCATTGAGCTATTACAGCTTGGACAACTCAGGGACTTTTTGCTTTGAAGGCCAGAAATGTGCCCTTTAATAAGAAATGTGAATTCATGCATTTTGAAATCCCATGGATTTTTAAGCCCCTCTGTGGATGGGGTAATGGATTATTTACCTAATTATTTCTTGATATCCATTAAGTGTAGGATGAACCTGTGCACACTGAACAGATTCAGTTGCAAAGAGTATGTAAAAGATAATATATAAAAAATCCTGATAGAAACTTTTTTTATATATTTAGGATGAAATTCTATATTAAGATGAGTTTGCAGTTCCAAATGAAGACCATGGGTGTAGTGAGGCTAGAAGTTGGCACTCACAATATGATCTGAGTTGCAGATACCTCCAATCACATAGGTTATAATATACTAGTGCTAAGAGTCTTTAGATGGAGCTGTGCAGCAGGGAAGATAAGCAGTGACCAAATTTCAGAAAAAGTAATTAAGCAATGGGAAACTGGAAAGCCTAGGTGTAGAAATTTATTGTTTTATGGCTTCTTGCTCAGTTGAGATGCTTCCATTATTATTTTTCCTACAGCATTCTCTAGAACTAGAATTATAAGATGCTTAATTGCTAGAATTCTAGGACTATACCAGGAGTTAACAACATGCCGGAGCTACTTACCTGGGATTATTCTTTAATGTGTTCACCAGAAATTCATGTAAATCTATGCCTGTTGAGTCGGTATATTCTTGGCTGCAATCTGAAAACAAACAAACAAACCAAAACGTTTCATTTCAGAAGTTAAGCCAATTTCTGTAAAGCAGACTTGGTTTTCCAGCCAGCAACCCAAAAAATATATTATAAAGAATAATGTACATGCAGGTTATTTATTTATGTGAACAATCTACCCCACAAAACAGCATGAGGAAATCTGTCTTTTCTTTGCATTGTACTAATAAGTGCCACAACTGAAGCAAACAAAGTTTTGTCCTTTCTGGAATCACAGGAAATATATAATGTTACCCAAATTCCTTCCAACTTTCCCTTTCTTACTGCTGAATATCCAGTCCTGACTATAAATACATCTTTATATATTGAACATATTAAATTAGACAAAGTGATATGCCTTGCCACTGGGAATTCAAAATCTTTAACAGACTGGAATCTAGTGATGTCTAAAAGTGGGTAGATGACAATGGCATGTGACAGAGTATTTAGAATTCATTTACGGCATAGGTGATTGTGTCTTACTCAAAAGTAAGGGCAGATCCTCAGCTGGTCTGAATCACCAGCTTCAGTAAAGTCAAAGGAGCTATAACAATTCATACCAGCTGAGGATCTGCCCCTGAGTAGGCAATGCTTATCCTTAAGAGACTACAGTGTAGTTTTGTAACATGATATAATTATAGGTATAAAAATAATTATAGTTAGAGTCACTCTGTGCATACCTGCTGTAGTAAGGCATAATTATAATATGTGATAGATAATTCACTAGTGTATTACAGTACACGGACCATGAGTTAAGGTTAAGGGCTACGGGTGGATTTCCAAATAATGTTAATGAGAGATTCATCTGTGGGCCGAAAGCAATATATAAGACTAAGTGTTTTGTGTTGCTGCTAACAAGTTGTACAGTATACTATGATTAACAGAAAAAAGTTGTACTTTCATAAAATATTTTATGTAAATATTATAATCGCATACATAAATACAAACACATTTACACACACATACACACACCCGACACCAAACACCTCTTACACAAAATCTCTGCTATGCTCTGTTAGGGGTTCTACTCATAATACAACTGTAATATATATAATCTATATATCTCAAAACCCATCATTTATATGAAAAACTCCCTTTTTCTTATCCATATAAATTTCACATGCCACATTCCCTCTTTTGGATAAATGCATTCCTACTGTATGTGTACTTAAAGACAGACAGACAGATTAGATAAAGAGAAAGATAGAGAGAGAGTTCACATATGCACACAGGTATAATACATATATACCCACAGGTACATACATTCCTATGCATGTCCAAGAATTTCTAGATGTGACCATAATAAATAATTGAAAAAGGATTAAAATATTTTGAAGTTCACCTTTTGATAACATTCTGATCTTGGATTTTTCACAGTTTTTATCTTTTTCTTTGTTTTTATCCTTCTCTTTTTCTTTCTCAGAGTCATCTTTACTAGATTTATCTTCTTCTTGTAGACTGGGGAAACTCGAAAGCTGTAGTTGTATTGATTCCTGTTGAAAAAAATATAATAATTTAGGGCCAGATTCAATAAAATTTACATGGATTCCAATCTGAAGAGATTTGCATTCGGGAGTGCACAGCTAGAAAAATTGAAGCCAGATATAATTTTTTCCTACTGGGTAAAATTAAATCTTATCGGGAGAATAATGCATTCTTTGGCCCAAATTCTGCCCTCAGATGTGTGTGTGTGCTGCTCCCACTGAAGTCAGAATTTCTTCCTTAATATTTGCAAACTAAGACCTCTGAGTTTACAAGTATTAAAGATACATTATTCTCCACTATCAGTAATTAAACTTTTCTCTCAATAATTATAACACTGGAAGTACATTCTTATAGGTGTTCTTCTTCCCATAAACCATTCTATATCTGAAGAGATATTGCAAGTGCTAGATAATGACCAAAATAACTTCCACAGAATTTTTTTTGCAAATTCATATGAAGTGCTATGCACACATACAGTGTTATAAAATTTAAACTCACTTTTCAGGCCCTGAGAATTGTTTAGCTATCAGGTTTATCAAGTAAAAAACCATCTGTAAACATGGCCCTTAGCAAAAACTTAAAAAAAAAAAAAAAAAAATGAGTACTGCAGTTTTCAGTACAGTGGGTGTGCTAACTGAATTTTTCCAGTGCATCAGAAATCCATGTCCTAAAGATTTTGACATTTCAAAGACTGCGAATTCCTTTGAAGCTGCACTTGTTAGAAAACTGGGAATTCATGGTGTTTGGCCTTTTTTGTTTTGCTTTTGTGAAATCATTATTTTCCACTTACACTGACACAGGATTTTTCAGACAACAGTAAAAAACGAGTTGATATTCAATGAAATGTATTGATAAACTGATAATGCTGTGACAAACTTCAAAAGAATGGAATCTGACTACAAGAAGGAAAAGAAAGTATGGCTAAGTATTCACACTGTTTTGAAGAAAAATGAACAAAATCAGATATTAAAGTTTTGTAAAAATACATTGCTTGCATCAAACTGGCAAAATCAGTAGTATTAGAAGTGCTTTTAAACACATTGGGGGCCTGCATAATTGGTAAGCTACAGCTGCATCATGATGACGTCCAAATTACCATGTATTAAAAAAAAAATAGCCTGATTGCTAGCAAATTTCTATCATCAATTTTCATAGATTGCTGATGTACAGAAAAACAAATCTCACTACAATATTTTACCCTAAAGGGTATTTTTCGGAAGCAGAACATTAGTAACTCAATTGATGCCTGCAATAACTATTACAAATCTTAGAGTTATTAAAAATAACCACTATCAGACACCAAAACAAGTGTAAGACAAAAATCCTAGCAAAACTAGCTATTGGTGTCACAGTAAGACAGGAAGTCAAAACTGCCTCTGCTGAATCGGTGTCTTGATGAAGCTGAAATGTGGTACAGAAGACTTGAGATGCAAAGCACTGTAAAAATGGAAGCAAAGCCCTGTGGCAAAATATTAATTGGGGTTTATTTTCTCAATCTCTATTTTTGTTACCATGAGGCAGAAATGTTAGCAGAATGCTGCACTGAATATAGAAAGAGAATGGGAACTCTCAGCCATATGAAATAAGGACATGCAGGAGACTGTCCGCTAACTGCTAAGTTGCACTTAATGGACTGAAGTATGTTTTCCTTTCACTTGCTGAGGAAAAACTGTAAGTAAATGTTTTGTTCTGATGACAGGACTTTGTATGAATCAGTGCCACAAGATCCTTCAGAACAACTTCAGATTTCCTGCGCTATCTAATGCTGGGTGATTCTGTCATTAGTTCTTCAAAACAGACGAATCGTATGGAATTGGCATCCTCAGCACTTTAATCCTGAACTATTAAAATGGCTATTAAGATGCACCTATTTTGACGAGAAGAGAAAAATGACAGACTGTACACATAGCATAAACACACATGTAAACATACAGTATCTATTTTGTGTTACACATATACGATTCTGCGTATAATATTTGGTTGCTCTTGAAGAAACACACAAAAGGGCTGTAGAGTCGTGAAAGCAATCTATTATTTTTTGTTATATTTATTTTTATTGATTTTTCTCAATAGTAAAATACAACGTTAATAAGTACATTGATACAAGGTAAGTATAGTGAATAACAAAAGAAATGTTCAAGTTGCAATAATACACTGATAAGTCAATAGTATAACATTAGAGGCAACATTCCTTTTAAGTAAGGACATAGTGAATCATCAGGTAAGCGTTCAAGATCAAGTAATACAGGTAACAAGATTTTTCCTACACAGGAAAATGAAGGCAAATTTTCAAATATCAATACAAACATCAGGGTTGCAGTACAATCCATACTCTGTAGTTCTGGCAATGTACCGTACATTCTCTGGTAATCAAAACCCTGTGCTTTGTAAACCGCTAAGATAAACTAATAAAGAAGTAATTCAAAATAAACTCAAAATACGCTTCTTTCTCCTTTAAAGTAAAAGTAAACCATTTCAAATGGCACAACATTTCCAGTATCCTTCAGCCAGTCCAAGGAGGAGTGTGCAGGTCTAGCTTTCCATTGCAAAGCTAATCTGCATTAGTAAGCAAAAGGCCAATATAAGAGCAAAGCATAGTTTCTATCTACTCAAGTATTCAGAACCAATGGTCTTTACATGAGACAGATGTTGGGAGTCCAGGGGTACTTTAACTCCTGTGATCTTTTCAGTATAGTCAAAGAATTCTTCCCAGTAACTCGTCAGACCGGGGTAGGACCAGAGGATGTGTACAAGTGACCCCTCCTCTGTCTGGCATCAGGGTGCAGTTTGGGAGAAGTATTTTATCCCAAACCCTGCCCACCTCTATGGAGTTAAACACATGTTCTCTGCAGTACATTATCAACTACCATGCGATGTTTAATACAATCTCTTATATTTATATTATTCTCCTTTTCATTCTCCATTAAACAATAGAAAACACAAATAAAATGCAGAACAAAAGCCACACATTTTTGAATAATGCAAGTTAAGCTAAAAGCATAGTATTTTTTTAAATATATACCTACAACTATAAAATAACCTGTCAATTTCCCTACTGCATAATCATCATTGTAGAGCAGTGAGAACTTGGAGAAGTTCAGTTGCTAAACAAGATCTGGTTTTTGGTCTTTCAAAAAATAAATATAAATGAATGAATGAATCAATGAATGAATAAAATAAATAAATAAATAAATAAAAATCCTCTCCACCCTTATGAGCCTATGGGGAGAGTTCAATTTGTTGCATTTCAAGTCAATAGAGGAAAGTCAAAGAAAGTACACTTAAAAGTGATTGTTTGTTTTGTTCTGAGCTCACAAAAGTCATTTTTCTCCATCTCTTTCTCTCTATGGCTAATCTCATTTGCCAATAAAACAACTGAATCTCCAAATACCAATGCTGGAAGCTTTTAAGGTTTTTTATTATTATTATTATTTAAAAAATCTTGTTTGTCTGGTCAAGTGAAAATGATTGTGACAGGTTTTGGTTTTGGGTTTTTTGTTTTGGTTTTTGGAGTTTGTTTTTTTTGCAAGCGAGCCTAGAAGAACTGTTTTCCAGAATCTGAATCTGCGGGATCAAATTGCCAATATGTTTTGGTCAAAAAGTTGTTTCTTTGAAATAAATGGAATACAAAATGGAATCCTACTCAGAATAATGCACCCTCTCTTCTCTGCCAATGTATTTATAGAGAGTCAAGATCTGTGTAGTATTATGAAGCGCATACTGGGGGACCGATACATAATGGATCTCAGCTGAACTAGAAACCAGAGTGAATTTAGAACTGTATCTGGTGTAGCCTCAAAAGAGATAGCCTTAGAGAAAAGAACAATTCTATCTTTTATTTTATTTTTAATTTTAATCTGAATTCTTTTGAATTCTTTTCCATTTGTTGAAATTTTCAGGGGGTCTGGAAAAAAAAGCAAACAACACCCTGTGACATACTGTAAGACTACTTCAATATTTCAATATAAAGTACACGCTAAGCCAGATAACTTCATAAAATCGTGTGCATTGTCAGATGTAAATTTTTTTCTGCTTTCCCCAAAAATATATTGTTAAAAGCCCAATTAAGTAACATGATCATGCAAGTGAAAGTGGAAGTCAACCATGCAGCTAACAGCCATGATTTCAGATGTACCTGATTATCATGAAGACCTTCTGCTCCCAGTCGAGGGGATGATTCTTCGCACACAGCAAGACTCCGGACCAGTTTCCCCTTAGCTCCTGACTGAATAAGATAGAAAGAAAACAAAACAAAGGAAACTACTGCTGACCCCAAATCTGCAAATGTGCCAACCATCCCAATGAATTTAAAATAATCAGGTACTTGTCCAGCAAAACTGCATTTGCTTGAGATGCAAGTGCATGTATGTGATAGACAAAGGATGAACTACAGCAGATTCTGCCCAGCAAGTCATTTGACACATGGGTTTGGCTTTTAAATGCTTTTGCTACACTTCACTTCAGCTGAAAATCATAAAAGTAAAAACAAAAAAAATCTGGTAACGTAGTCAAAGCAACAACTCTATTTTCTGTAAACAGCAATAGAGCTGAACAGTGACAAATTTTAAAAGTGGTATTGAAAATGTTGGAAAATGTTATTTAAAAAAAGAACAGTGAGCGAGCTAGCGGATTTCACACTAACTAGCTGCCTTCCTCCTACTCAATCTTTTTAATCCCTACAGCTTTAGAAACTTGATTACTCCACTTAAATAAAATTCAAACAAAACACTAATTACAAAAGAAAAATTAAACGCGATTTTTCTTCCCCATTTGCACACACAAATACATACACAGATCACACATACAAGTACATGGCAAGCCCAGTAACCAACGTATGACTGCTAAATAAAGGGGAGATTGACACTTAATATCTTGTGAAACTCCTCTGCTTTTGTGCCACATGATTATGAAGAAAAACTGAAGATAAAAGCTCATTGTTGTATATGAAAACAGTCACCTGAATGGAACTTTTTATCACCTGTCAGCTCCGCATGCAATGTGAAACCTTACCTTGGATCTCTTTTTCTGCTGGTTCTGGTTTACGCCTCGTTTCTGTGCGTAACAAATAATTGTCACTTTAGTGGAAAATGCACACAATAGCAATATCAGCATACTTCATTAAATCCTTCTCAAAGCAAACCTTTATCATCATTTGCTGATTGCAAAGTAACATTCCTAAGGCAACTCCAAAGAAGTGGGAAGCCAAGAATTGCCTCTGCTGTATGCATTAATCTGATTGATATAAACAAGATGCAAACTTGATGCTTTGCTGTGGTATGCTCAAATACTTCAGTATTGTCTTTTTATCATGTTTTGTAAGCCTCTCTCCCTCTCCAAACTCCTTCCCCTTTTGAGCTTCGCAGTAATCCCATAAATTGCAGTCCCTCTTTCTTTTAATATCCTTTTAAGGTAAAAAAAAAATCATCTTGTAAAGACTCAAGTTTTTAATGATCTTTCTTTAGTTTTGCATAACAAGAGCGTCACTGCTTTTTTGTTGGTAATAATTGTTATTTTTAAAATTAAATTCACTGTAAAATTAAGAAATACAGCAGTCTCTATGAATTCTGTGAGTCCATCAGATGAAGATAATGTCCTAAATATCCCAAGACAAATATTTTACTGTATTTATAATGGGTACCCAATAACGGGCTCCTTAGCAATTAAAAAATACTACCAATTATATAACAAGAAAAAGAAAAGAAAAGCATGAGGAGAGAAGAATAGAAAAAATCTAGCCAAACAAAAGACAGTGGAAATAGCAATGTAACAACAACACAGTTACATAGCCATCCAAGGTCCTTCTTCCTCTTACCTGGAGGTCCGTCTTGGCATCACTCAGCTTCTCCTCCTTTTCCTCTGCTTCCAAGCTTTCCGTTTTATTAATGATGTAGTTCTCTGGGGTCGCATCAGAGATGGCGGACTCCTGCTCTTTGGCAGCTTCCTCTGCTGTCTCCTGGTTCAATTTACCTTGCTCAGACATTCTCCCAGACAGAAATTAAAACAAGATTCGGTGACCTGGACAGTCGAGACATCCCCCAAAAAAAGAGGGAGGAAGGTGAAATTTTTACTTTTGTTCTCAAAAAGCAAAATGATTTCATTTCCTTTGATAAACAAACCACAATAACAAACTCAGGAGTGCAGGGCAATACACTCCAGCAGAAAAACAAATATATTGAATTGACACCGGGGAAGAGTAGAGTAGAGATATGATAAATAAAACAACTTGGTTTCAAACATGCTTAGTGGTAGAGAATGTAAACCACAGTTAAGGTACGTTAAGCCCTCACCCCTTGCTCTCCTGCCACAGCCAAGGAGTTGCTGCAGAGGTGAAGACCGGGATGGAAAGGATTTTTTTTCCCCCTAAGATAAGTCAAATGGATGTCCCATTTACACTTCCGGGTCATAGGCATGTCAGTGCTCCCCTCCTCCAGCATCTCTCTCATAATACATACACATACAAATAAAGCACAGCCAAGAGGAGGAATACTGCAGATTTCTATCACTCAGGTATTGTCTGGCGTATAGCGAGAGAGCCAATACATTCATTACAGGCACACAGAAAATTAAATTCAGTTAAAGAGGTAATAATTCAATATAAATATGAAATCTAAATTTGGCAATAAAGCTCTCAGAGTCAACATCTCCAGACATCAAACTGACAGCTCCATTATTAAAATCATAAGCCTCTTCCCAAACCACATGTCACGCTCCAGCACTATGGAAATCCTACTGGAAGCCCTTGGCAGGTAGCTCTAATGAAGATATCTTAACTGCACTGCATTACTCTCAGCTCACAATGAACTGTTGTACAGAAGCTCTAAAAGGCTTTTCAAAGTTAAAGCCTATTATTATTTTTCCTCTCTCTACCCACAAAACACCCTCCCGACATCTCCCCCACTGATCAATTGTCAAATGAGTCTCATGAATAATTTAGCTTCCCTCCTCCCCCCCCCTTTCTTTTTTTCTTGTTTTAAGATGTGTCTGAAAGAAAAACAACTGCAGTGGAAAGGGGGAGTTATTTCAGAAACAGATTTCAGTGCAATAGCTTGCCCTTTCCCAATAGTGTAACAATGGTTATTAGACAAAACTATATTTTGCCATGTTTCTTTTACAGCTTGTAATAAACATTCAGCACTTTTTTTCTGTCTGTTTTTTTGAATGGAAATGCAAAGCATTTTAAAACATCAGTCATTTGGATTTAGAATTCTACTATCTGTTTTAGGCATGTTGAAGAGGTTCCTGCATAAAGATATGTTTCAGAGTAACAGCCGTGTTAGTCTGTCTTCGCAAAAAGAAAAGGAGTACTTGTGGCACCTTAGAGACTAACCAATTTATTTGAGCATGAGCTTTTGTGAGCTGTAGCTCACAAAAGCTCATGCTCAAATAAATTGGTTAGTCTCTAAGGTGCCACAAGTACTCCTTTTCTTTTTACATAAAGATATGTTACTGTTCCATCTCAATTTGCAACAGATTGGGGAGATTTAGCAGAATTAGATTTTCTGAACAACTGTGAGTTTCATACCTGTGTGTTTATGAATACTGGGATGGGGCTGTGAGTTCACCATCTATACACAGTACAATTCATAGGCAATTCAATGAATTTCTCAAAAGAAATGTATTGCTGCCCAAAGGGCCCGATTTTTTTTTTACTGTAAAACATAATGTTGCTGGTTAATTTTTGGCTGTTGTGCACTTACATGTGTAACTCAAATTCACTGAAATTTTCTCACACACGTCTTTAGTTGTACATTGTATGTATAGCAGATCCATACTCAGAAAATATTCACAAATACAAACAATTATAGCCAGCAGACTAACAACTATAACAAACAAGCCATGTACCTTCAAAGCAGCTTTAATTCTCGACGTCTTTCTAGCTGCTTCTGTTGCTCTTCAATGGTTAAATCCACACAAATGATCAATGACAACATGAGTCCCATGTCCCCACTAACAGTTCAGAATGCCAGTCTCCATGCTCTTCCTTTAGACAGTTTTACAGATCATCATCAACCTGGAAAAAGACAAAAAGTAAATAATCATGGTAATAATCATGGTAGGGTTAAGGATGCAATAAATAGGACCAGATTTCTAACACTAATGACCAGCTTCAAGCAAATCACTTTCACAGCTTGATCCAGCTCCACCTGTCTCAAAACTGCCTGCTTCTTCTCTAATGAAGGCTAGAGCCGGCTGTTCAAGTCATAACAGCTCCTACGCAAAGAGCTAAAATTATCAATTGCATTATGCACTGAAGATTACTCACTTCAATTTTAACCTTTTTTAGTGAATTCTAGCACTTTTCACATGAAAAATTAAGATAATCTGTTTGCTTCAATGGAAATCAATATTATCTATGGGCAAAAAAGTCTTCTCTGCTTTTTAACCAAAGCCTCAGCCCCAATTAAGGATTTACACAATATTTTAAAGAGGCTTCATGACTGCTTTTAGGAAGTAATCTCGATAAGGGTACAGTTCATTTACATATTGGTTTAATGAGGCATATCTGTCAAATAAAAGCTGAAATGATCGGGGGAGGGACCACGAAAAACCAATTCCCCCGAACAATGGAAATCGGCGCAAACTTTCCTTTAGGCAGAATGTAACAAAACATCTCTCTCTCTCTCTACGTTATTGCTCAGAGAGCAAGACTGCGGGATCAATTACTTCAGAAATGCAATGCAAATGCCATTCATCAGGACTGTTATTGCCAGCTGAGTATGGGGTTTGACAGAAAAGGAACATTTTGAGAGGGATTTACAAACTATGGTCATGTGAAATTGTCATGATGCAAATAGTCTTGTTGAGATTTCCATATGTGCAGTGGCCATGGTAATTTGGGGGAAGGAGATAGAAGAAAGGCAAAAACACCCCCCAAAGGAACAGAAATACAGTTCACTTGGTGAGAAAAACAAACTGCATATTATCAAACTCTTTTACACTTTTTCTGATGTACATGGTTTTAAATTGCAAACAATGGGAAGTGCTGTACTGTGTGGTATGATGAATTGTATCTCACAACCCATTTAATTTAGCTAAACGCTACAATCAGAACTGGACTGTAACAAATTTTTAAGATCATATTCTGATCTCTCCAGAAATTCAGTGCTGCGTAGGCAAAGAATACTTAGTTACACCGCCTTTTATATTTTCCAAGAGGTAAACATAAATATATATTTTAAGATTGTATCCCTCATTCCCTAAACCAGTAAATAATTTGTATACAGCAATAAAACTACTCATTGCAGGATCATTAAATTATCCTCTCAGAAAAATTTACTTTTCCACGGTCCAACGCTAAGGTGAGGGGACAGTAAAACAACCTTAATAGAATAGAGCACAGCAATTATATTTAGGAATTCATATATAAGTGAGCCTACTAGTGGAACCGATAGAGGTAAAAAATTAATTCACTGACCCAATGAGATTGGCAGGAAGGCAAACTACTCCCAAGACCCATTTTTGCCCCTACCTCAAAATAAAAAGCTGATCTAGTATATCTCAATTCAATACAAGAGTCAAAAAAAGAAAGAAAGAGACAGAGCACTGTGAAGTCCAGAAGCTCCAAAGATATGAGGGAAATAGAGGTAGTTGTAACAAAACCTCGCCAAAAATTAGCATCTAATTTCAGGATTCTACACACTTTTTGCAGCACTGCCACATATGATAAGCTAATATTCACAAAAAGGCATCTCAGATTTCCTCACATTCACCAGCTAGAGAAATCTGCCAAGTCTCCAGCAGACAACAACACTTCTGGTCCTATGCCACAGATCTCAAAATGCAATCTTATCATACCTATTAGGGAATATTTTTATCAATGGAGACCCACACATTGTTACGCTTAAGATATCTAATGCCAATATGAGCTAATGCCAAGACTTCGGGAACTCCGTTGAATATTAGATATTGAACAAAAGATACAGACATTTCACCAAGATTGCATAAAAGTCAGTGGGGGAAGAAGCACACACAATGCTTGAGCAGCATCTCTCAGACCTGCCATGCCGACACTTTTAAAAAGATAATAAAATTATACTCCCAGCATGCATTTCAACATTTTGTTGTAGAAAACGACCCAGGAAAAAATGGATTTTTGTGAGCTGAAATCAAACAATCTTCAACGGGTATATACTGACATATGGGCATAGGAATTTAAGCAATCATACAATTTCATGGGGACAAATATTTTTGTAACCATTTGTAATTATTCCCTGAGCCAAGAGAACAACTGAAGTGAAGAACGGGGTGGGATATCAGTCACAGTTCTGCTTTTTCATCCTTCCTCCAATACAAATTTCTATTCATTTTGGAGGAAATTTGCATACAGTGGTTATCATTCATATTACAATATATGAGATGTACTTTTAGGCTGAGATTCTCAAAGAAATCCATGCTGTACTCGCTCTCTCTGGGAGCTGGACTCCGTTAGGCAGCTCTGAAATCCCCAGTGTTATAGAATAAACTTTAAGGTATATATTAATAAGTGAAAATAGTCAGAAAAATACCTGTATAACGGAACCCTTTGACTCCAAATATGTTTCTGCTCCCTGTGCATATTCAAGATATCAGTTTATTTAATGATCAACACAAATATATTATTATTGCTAGCCCTGCAGTGTCTATACAGTTATGGAAAAAGCATGCTGGATTTTTCTTTGCATTGCACATCAACAAAAATGTTAGCTATGTTCTTACTCTCCATAGTGAAGATTTGACAGTAAGAGGCAGAATAAATGCAGTTCTTTTTTCAGTCTCTAGGCTGAGGTTGCAAAGCTTGTGACTAGAAAAAAAAAAATCTAACTTGCAAAGGGAGCAAGTTTTATAGGAATTGCTGAGATTTTTCAAGAGACAAGGCAGATAAGGTAATTTTTATTGGACCAGCTTCTGTTAGTAGAAGGTATAGGCTTTTGAACTACACAAAGTTCTTCTTCAGGTCAGGGAAAGGAATCAGTGTGTCTGAGCTAAAAACAAGCGGGACAGAGTTAAGCATAAGGAGGTCACTGTGCCCAAATTTAAAAAAACTTGAAAATCCCACACAAAAAAGTCAGAGGGAGAAAACAGGGCACCCAACAATACCATTCTTAGAGAGCCATTTCAATAAAAATAATGTAATGGGTTAATAAACCATTACACTTTTTGGGTGGATACTATGGAAATGCAGTTGTCATCTGGTAAATTTATTAATAAAAAGTAATTTATTCCATAGTAACTGGGGGCTCTCCCTACCCATGGTTTGTGCTGAGCCCAGGTGAATTGGTGAGGATGCTACGTGAATTCAAGGGAAATGAGATTGCATGAGTGTTAAACCATGTACCATAATTTATTCATAAATAGCACATACCACACTGATTGAGAAAAAAACGGTTAAAAAAAATTTAAGTGCAAGGCTTTAAAAAAAACCTGCCTGGAAAATGAAGTGATAAAAATGTATAATGCAACAAAGTGGTGAGTGAAAACTTTCAAGTATCAATAAATACATTTGCACAATAATCAACACAAGTTGAAACAGAAACAGTCCTCTGACACAATGTGAGAAAGCTCTCTATAAAGAAAGTTACCAACCCCTGTACCAATATTGGAGAGGTAGGTAACATCTAAAGACACTGTGTATTAAAAGCTTGAAAACAAAGTTTGGGCCTGATTCTGTGTTCCCTCAGCTCCTACTGATGTCTCCTAAGAATGCCCATTAACACATCAAAGGATCAGGCCTCACACCTGTAAGGCAATGAACACTCCTCTCTAACAGATTTGAGGGTGCTCTTCGGCGACATTCAGCACCTGCCAGGATCAGACCCCAAATCACCAATACATTCTCTAAACAGATTTGCTAAGTGAAAAGGCTGAAGAAGTGCTTGTAGGGTTAGGGTGGGCAACAAAACTGGAAAAGGGATGACACAGCCTGTGACTGGATGTTTGGTTCCCTCCCACTTCTCAACTACATTAATTTTACAGGACAGGACCCGTATCCATCCAAATACCCAAAATATGAGACCACACAATAGATTTTGACAGATGTAGTATTTCAGAGGATCCATGAAATATAGGAGCATACATTGGGGATTCTCTCTCTCCGTAAAGAAGTGTCACTCATAATTCCCAATATACATGATTCAAATATAAAAAGGCAGCCCTCACCAGTAATTAGTGCTCTCCTTGGAATCCTGGAAACCATTGGAAAATTTATTTTATTCCCCTTCTTTCCTTCCACTCCGCCCCTGCCCATGACCAAGAGGAATTAACAGTCCTCTTCATCTTGATTGGTCCATTGAAATATGTGTTAACTATTTATGTCAAACAACCTGTTCCACCTTGTATTTAGCTGAGACACTCTGAGTATATTTCCCAGAACTGAGGAAGAGCTCTGTGTAAAGTTCAAAAGTTGTCTCTCTCACTAACAGAAATTGATCCAATAAAAGATATTACCTCGCCCACCTTGTCTCTCCAATATCCTAAAACCAGCACAGCAACAACAACACTGCATACAGGAAAAGTATTACAAAAAACGGCTCTGCCCAGATTGCTCTCAGGGTTGTCAACTGTTGTGATTTCTAGCATGTTATTTGGTGTTTTGTTTAAACCCAAGCTCCTGGAGTCAAGTGATTATGGGAAAATTTCAATTTTAATTTAAAAACAAATAAGCTTTTTTCTAGCCCTCATGGTTGCAAGGAAAAGCTTGAAAATATGATCCTTAAAGACTCAAAAAACAGAAGGCAAATAAAAATAATCCATTATTTATGTTTAAAAACACAATTTTTAACCAAACGCATGATTTTTTTACCCCTTTTGGTTGGCAATGTCATGCTCTTGCTTTTTCTCACTGCTGTCTGTATATCCGGCAGATCAGAAACACAGATATACTTGAGAGAAAAGACAAGAACAAGTTCTGGGTCTTCACATACCAGGTTATGAATAATCAATCAACCCCAGACCCACTATGGAAAAACAAACAAACGGAATGCAACTAGTTGTTCAATGACTCTTAAAAGGCTGAAGTTGAGTCCTCAAATACAA